AGGTCGACGTCGCCCAAAATACGTCATTGCGGATCCTCCCGATCCATTAACGGTGCTTTTAGGTTACCACAAGCACCGGTCACCGTCCCCGTCGAACCCGTCGCTTGCGACGAAAGGCTCGACGACCGAATTAACCCATAGACACAGTCCACTGAGTTTCTCGCCGGATCTTCTCAGTGTGTCGCATTCCCGATCCGGTGGTAGATTCTGCGAAGCACTGCTCTTACTAGGGTCAGTGTTAGTATTACTCCGGTTTGAGCCCGGTGAGCTCACTAACATGTTAGGGTGAAGCTGAAGTGTTGTCTCAAGGCTATCAGCATCGGTAGGAAAAAAAAAGCCTGGCTTTGGGCCGGTTCATACGATGTCATCTTACGTGGTCTACCGCCTTTCTTCTAGTACAGAGTGGGCATCGATTCGTAGCCGTTTACGACCATCTTTAGTCAATCTTTCGATTTAACTGGACGAGACACTAATCACATACTTTAATTATTTCTCACAAGTGACAGTAGTATGAATTAAGAATTAGGCGGCATTAAAATGGCCAACTGTAGTAATTTTGAAAGGGTTTTAAATCTTCTAATAAATAATATATGGAAGAAAAGAAACAATATGATCTCTCCATTCAACACAAATTGTGTTCAAAAGTGCTCTAGTAACATTGTTCGGGGAATATTTCTTAATGAACTGACTGCATTTCGCATTTCCTCGAAACCTTTACACTAATGAGTAATGATAATTTTAGACTTCACTTAGTAAACAGTAGGCAAAAGCTACCTTAAATAGAATAACATACTACAACAGGCAACTATGTTACACACATACAAACTTTAATGATGGATGATAAATTGTAACGGCTTAATTCATTTAAATTCGTACCGCATTCGAAAAAATCCTATTGTACTACAACTATAATGCTTCTATTTCTGACACCCACCTTCAGATAGAACAAGTGGTATTTATGATAGACATTTTTGGGTCAATAATTCTTAGAATATTAACCCCTATATACACTCGAGCGATGCCAATGCTCGATGTAGTGGTCGAAATTAATGTTTCAACGTATATAGAATAATAGGTGCATTAAATCTAGACTATGGATTGGATGAATGTTTGTATGTAACCTATATATATATTTTTTATTGCCCTTGTAGGCAAACGAGCATGACCCCACCCCCACCAGATGGGGAGTGGTTACCGTTGCCCATGGACTTCAGCAATGCCAGGGGCAGAGCTAAACCGCTGCCTACCGCAAAATATGATATCGCATATTCATTGAATATTATGTTCCTAGTTTTATAGAAAAATTCACGTAATAATATTAAAAATTTAAACAAATATTGTTACAGAATAAATACACTCGCACAGATGGAATACCGATTTCTCTTCGTGCTCAACTAGATTAGTTCGCAGAGTTATTTGAGTGATCAATTCCTAATTTTAGATAAGATTAGTTCTGTCGTAAACAATGTATTTTATAACAGTATCGCGATAACTGATGGCCGATTGCTGTTTATTATATGCGATTATTATCTTTAGGCGTTGTTAATAATATTTCATAGACAAATAATGCTTAGTAACTTCTAGCTAAGTAAGTTTGTTTTGTTTCTCTTGAAGCTTCTTTGATGGCGGTATGTAGTAAGTTCTCGCGAGTACCATCATCCTGCTTATTTCTGCCGCAAAGTCCTGCGTTACGTCTTTTGACGGACAGCCCTTTGTACAGACTGATGTAATTGAGACCCAATGTCATGTCTTACGGTTGATTCTTGACACGGTTGACATTCTCTTTGTGGCGGCTACAAACTCGGAGTTCATGGAGCTAAATGCTAAAATCCAGTTGAACTGTAAGTTCTTCTCGTCTTAACAGACGGACAGGGGACTTACAGTTATATTAAAGTTATACTTACAGTTATACGTCTGTTAAGACGGACAGAGGACTTACAGTTATTGAAGTTATACTTACAGTTATATTGAAGGACAACTGTCCTTCTCTGTCCTTCAACTGTAAGTTCTCTGTCCATCAATATTTTGTTAGTTATAACAAAATATTGAAGGACGCTGTCGCTCGGGTTGATAATAGAGAGGAAAACCCCTCGATGATAGTATTTTTCTATGGACGAATTATGTCTTTTTCTGTACCCCTGACAAAATTCCAAATTCCATGATGATCCGCTGAGCAAATAAGTTGAAAAAAAGTAACAAAATTTTGCGTGGGTTAGTATGGATAAGTGATTATGACGTCATGAACTCTAGGCGACAGCTGCGAGTGTTTATCTTAATATTATGTTGCTATTTTCTTAGTATTTTTCTTTGATATTAAAATTGGTTTTTTATGATTACTCAAAGAGTGTACCCGTCATTTTTAATGAAAAGGCGTTTAGTTTTCCGATGCTGTGCTGGTTTATGTTGCAAAAGATATGTGATATATGTGTAAATAGAATTAAACAAATGAATTCTCGAAATAATTGTATGTCCGGAATGACCCGACCCAGACCTTGCACTCAACAGTCGCCAACCGATGTGTCTAGACATCCAAAGCTGCATTTGAAAATGATGTGACGAACACAACACTTGCGTACTTTTACTAATCGTTTGAAATTTACAGTTGGCACTGTCAATGCTTGCTCGCAAATAAAATAATATTGGATAAAAGTTGAAAACTGTCTGACCGTTTCGCTAAAAAATATCGATGTAGCTTTAAAATTTCGTTTCTATTCGATAAATATCTCACTACATTCTCTTTCTTCTTTTCTATTCCATGTATAATTAATTTGTTTATATGATATTGATTTTCGCGTTTTTGTTATTTTGTATTGTATTATTTCGAATACTTCACTTCTTTTAAGTCAGTACTACTCTCTTACCTATTTCTGCCGCATAGTAGTGCCGTTTCCTTTTCAGTATGCCAATGTTCTGTCTACCTCTTCATTCGAACATAACTGAGATTTCCAGCTCTTATCTCCAAGTGTTTGTGTAAATCACTAATACCAGACGAGCTGCGAACTCCCAAGCCTATACCATGACAATATTAACACGTAAAATGAACGGTTGTGATCATACTCGTATAGGATTTTTAATCTTCCTACATCGCTTTCTACTAGAATAAAAACGCGATCACACAAATGCACGTCTTTTCTATGTTAAGTAGGGAGCACAAAAACAACAAATTAATTATTTAAATACGAAAAAACATCTTCAAAAGAAAATCTTACTAAAGATCTTGAGGTACTTACGCAATTTTTCAGTAGTCGTTTTAGTGAAACGCGCATGTTTCATGTCTCTATGAATTGTACGTTCTAAAGTTGTTTTTTTGGCTAGATCGACTTCTAGAAATAACGAGAATAGCTTTCACTCTCTATACCTATTCTGAATACAATCAGAAGACAGACTTAGCACAGTTGCTATCCAGTGATAAATAGGGAATAATGCCGAGCAGATTGGTTGACTTTGAAATAGTTATAGTCTGATAAAACTATAATTTCAAATAATCTGAATTTTGATTTAATCGCATTAGACCAAGAATGAAAAGAGTATTTCTTACTATATATAATATAGAGTATAGAATAAAAAACAATAATATATTAGTTCTTATTATGTACTATAACAATTCTCACTGTATTCTAATTTCGAATTTCTTTTATATCTTACTTTTATGTAGAGTAAATTGGATTAAAATATTTTACTGGTGGTCTGGCATACTCCAAGCTCGCAAGGATAAGTACTACTATCCTGCCTATTACTGCCGCGAAGTCATATCGGATTGGGTGAATGTCGGCGTTCGCATTGTGATGTTTTTGCGTCCAATAATCATATAACACTACGCAGGCTTCGTAGGCTCGTTTTACTCAAAAAGGTGTGTGTCCATTACAATTGCTTCCGATTTACTTGTAAAGCTTAGTTTAATTTCCGAGGGGATGCATATAGTATGTGATTTCACAATGTATACAGATTAAGCGTGGGATCGGTTACATTTCAAGCGGCGCTGGGGTGGCGATCTCGGTAAACGAGCGATCCTCCGGGCTGCTCGGAAACGCCGCCCGCGCACCTGCCCTCGCCGTCACTCTTCCAAATTTAAAACCCAAACTCCCCCCACCGTCCCGGCCAAACATTCTGGAATAATTCTTGCGTTTCGGCTAGTGTTGCTCGCCATTCGAATTCGGGTCGCGATCGCGTCCGGTGTTATCGTATCCTAGCTTATTGAAAAAAAAAACAAATCGCACCATGGCCGACGTTGACGTTCAAGTCCAGTACACCACCACGGAACGCAAAACTAGGAAGGTCAAGAAGACCTCCAAGCGTAGGGAGTCCAAGGACGGCGAGGTGACCGTCACCGAAGTAGAACAGACCAACACCACCAATAACGACGATGGGTATGTGTTGCGGTGGCCAAACCTTGACCGCGGGTGAAGTGTGTTCGTACGTGTCAGCCAAGTGCCGATATCGTGCCGCGTTCGAATCCGTTTCAGTGATATGCTTATCTATGANAAGGTCAAGAAGACCTCCAAGCGTAGGGAGTCCAAGGACGGCGAGGTGACCGTCACCGAAGTAGAACAGACCAACACCACCAATAACGACGATGGGTATGTGTTGCGGTGGCCAAACCTTGACCGCGGGTGAAGTGTGTTCGTACGTGTCAGCCAAGTGCCGATATCGTGCCGCGTTCGAATCCGTTTCAGTGATATGCTTATCTATGAATATGAGGTGCAATTTGGCCACCCTCACATACCCGACCTAACCTAAGGTATATATCGCTATGAGTACGAAAGACTGTATCTTAAAATGACAAAAACATAACCGAATCATTTGGCAATTCATATCCTTCATAATTAGTACCTAAACGAATCCAAGTTTTAAGTCTATATTTTGAATTAACACACAAATTACCAATTTTTAGAATTTCACAATAATTATTTTACTGAAATACATTAACCGATCTCGTATAGATCAGTCACACTGTCATTTGTGTAATCAATGTTTTAATATCCATTTATGTTTGTTCACAGCTTATTTTCAGCGGTGAATACACCAAGGCCATGAACAAGGACTGGCATAGCGGTCACTTCTGCTGCTGGCAGTGCGACGAGTCGCTAACTGGCCAGCGCTATGTTCTTAGGGATGAACACCCCTACTGCATCAAGTGCTATGAAAGCGTCTTCGCCAACGGCTGCGAGGAGTGCAACAAGATCATCGGCATTGACTCTAAGGTATTGTACAATACCGTATATTTAAGGTTCCAATATTATTTTAAGATGAACTTAATCAATGGCCGTATATGGAAATTTAGAAAAGTTGTTTTATCGCAAAACATTTACATTAACGTTATTATTGCAAAAGCTCGTTTTTTTTTTTCAGTTTAACTTTTTCGATTTTCTTTTCACAACTAATTCACACACACAGTCACAAATAATTAATTGGCCTGTCCTCGAAAATATTTGATCACTAAATCAAATTTGCAGCAAACGATTTTGTTATCTACACTTCGATAAATCATTAATTTGGCAGGTCAGTGTGAACTTGTCAGAACTTTTCATCCCTACCTATTCAGAGATCGCCCTTATGGGGCTATTTCAGCTACGCCCGGACGGGATGACAGATAGTTCACTAGAAACATCAACTTCAAATCTTTTTATTTTGCTCTTGGCTCTTGTCATGCCTTAATCTTGAAATTATTCGCATTCTATGCAGGCCTTCCTTTTGTTGTTTCGTTTTGTTACTATTTAACAAATTTTTAACAAATTATTTAACGGAAACACTTCATAAAACTATTCTTCACTTAAAAAAAAGGTTCTGTTTATTTCATAACTATTACCGATCCCGAAAAATCTGAGCGGCTTGTCCATAATATTTAAGCTCTTTGCCATCTAAATCCGTATCTAGTTCCACAATTAGACCAGCAATAGTATCTACGGCATTCGTTAGCTTTGTTTCGCCGATCAAATTTAGTAATGTCACTCCAGCCGGCCCAGATTCTTGAGGCGTATCTGCACACGGCCCCAGGCAGTTTCGCTGCCAAGCCGACATAACGTTACGGCAAACATTATACATTTATTTCAAGTCTCAGCGCGCCCGAATGAATGACTTTTCCCGTCAAATGAAACAACTGTAATTACACCAAACGGTGGCGCAATTGTTCCCCGAGATTTATAGAACTCTATAATGGATTTAGGTTTAGGTTTGTTTTCGACAGCGGAACGACTTAATTCGTCAATGCTGCTTACGTTACTGAAAATAGTGTTGATTTAAATTTTATCGCATCCGTTTCCGATGAATTGTGGCGAAATGAACCGACTGAAAGATCACTAGAATGAGAATGAGAAACCAAACAAATTGTAATACGACACTCCACTCACGATCATCATGAGAAGCGATAGTTACTTATTCGTAATTCATCATAAAATGTATTTTAACGAGATTGTTTACTTGCACACAAAGGAATAAACACCTGCAATAATGTAAGTCCTATTTACGAATGTTTGTTCAATGCAGACGAGCTCTTAACAAATTGACGATAGTTTACATGAAACATTGCGGCCGCCGCTAAAAGCTATGGCTATTTCTGTGTTGGGAACAACATTATTTTGATGTTTTCGTTTCGTGGCAACCTTGGGCGCAATGGGTGGATCCGTCAGACGATTCTTTACAGTTTTATGCGATGTGAGAAGCTCTAAGGATTTCGTAATCGGCCAAAATAAACATTCATATTTTATTGACATTAGGAAATTCGAGTTTAATACGTGCGTTTTAGCGGTCCTCGCACCGGAGCCAGGAATAGACCAACGACGGGGGAGAATTTATTTTGAAACTTGAACTGAGCCACGTGAAATGCAACGTGAGAGAATGTTTTGATCTTTATTTTCATTCAGTAAACAAAACAAAAAATTTACTTAGAATATTATATCGTAACTTTTGGACATTGGAAATTTCAGAATTAACGACAAAGACGAAAACGGACAACTAATTTGGGGAATAATGCTTTTGCAAGAATGCGTATATAGCTTAAGCAAAAGACAAGCTTTTGATTAGTTAAAGCCGGTTTTGCCCTAGGGTGCTTTTGCGTGCGGGCGTAGCTGAAATACCCTCTTAGGTTACCAGCGAATAAGTAGGGGAAAAAATGCCCTAGAAAATTTTCCATGCTATTTGAAGGTATTATTTCAATAGACAACCTTGTTACAAACAAGCTAAAACAATAACCATTGCACTGATGTCACAAATTGAATGTTACATTAAGAAAATTATAACAAATTTGCTCAATTTATACCGTGCACGTACAACTAACACTTTGATATACAACGACCAGGAATATGTATTATGAATCCTAAATACATTAGGCTTCGGTCGTTATTTGGTCAGTGAACCGATGATTTATGAAATAGCCAATCGAATCATATACTTATCTTTGTAATAAATTAGAATGAATCAGTTCAATATAGGTTATGAGCTATGACGTGCGAGTACGGATTGATTGATTCATTAATGGAACGTGCTGCGGTGCCTAAATGTAAATTTTCGAAAAATAAGACTAATAATTTAAGAAATAGAAAAACAAAACTGTATTGATGACAGACGTGCTTAGATATTTTATTCAAAGCGTACTTTATAAAAGTCTATAAAAAAGTTGGTTAAGCACTTTTAGAAATCAAAAGCTGTCAACAATGCTTTTTCTATAAACTAAGGGACGCTACCAGTGACCAGATTAGCTCTACGAAGCAAACGCTTGCTGTGATTTGAAAATAAAGACAACCGCTATGTAAAATCTAACTTTGCTTAGCGGCGTATTGTAGCCACTACGGCGACTCTGGTATCAGTTTGGAACCAACTAAAAAAAAAACATCCCGACTTTTGATTACTTGGACGACTGAAAGAGCTCACAGCTCACCTGGTGTTAAGTAATGACTAGAGCCCATAGACATGAACAATGTAAATGCCGTCAACCACCTTAAAACATCAGTTCTATGGCGCAACGGCCGCCCTACGCTTCAAATCGGAACGTTTTACTGCTTTGCGGCAAAAATGTGCGGCAAAGGCAGAGTGAGGTACCTACCCGTACGGGCTCACAAGACGCCCTAAAACTAGTAGTCGCAAAACGTAATTTTTGCGGGCTTGATTTTTATTACACGATGCTATTCCTGCATCGATTCATTCAAAAAATACCTGTCTGCGGGATTCGAACATCGGAACAGTCGCGTCACTTGATATGATTGCACCAGGCATCTTATCATTTAGACCACGATAACTTACTGCACCGAATTTATATCCCTCTAGTTTCTTCCACTTTGAAGAACCATGGAAATCATGCCTTCGTCTCGATTGTGTCATCCGATATTAAGCAAATGTACGCAGCGGAATGTATTTAAAAATCACGTGACGCTTGGGGTCAACGATCTCCATTTTCTTGTGACGCGGAGCTCGCGGCGGCCAAAACCCTCTGTATAGATTGCTGGTTTCTAAATTATGAGTACACTGAAACAGCAACCTAGCCAATTAACATATTTTAAAGGCAACGTATAGGTATCGCGTTTGAAGAACAGATACTAGATAAAACTTGCTATAACTATATGGCTTATTGTTGAGTGAATACACAAAAAAGGTCATAATGTACACCTTTCATCAAGTCAAATTTTAATTGGACGTTATTATGAAAAAAACTGACGACTAAAAAGTATGACGGAAAATGTGCTAATTTTACCACGAACTAAACAACGTCGAAATATGTCTTCTGAATTCTTGCTTGACTACATCCAGCTATTCTAGGTCAATAACGGTACGCTAAGACTAATTAATCTAGCCACAAAAAACAATAAACAAGACCTTGTAATTAACGATCGTATGTATGGATGATCGAAGATGTCTAGATAACAATTGATTTAATCTCTTAAATTCTATGCAAACGCCTACATAGAACATAATGCAGATTAAGAAATGCTATTGGGATTATCTGACAGGCTAATTGTTTTTTATACCACAACTAAACATAGCATTATTTGGAATGGTTTAATGCAATCATATTAATGATGAAAAATAAATGCAACGTGTTTGTTACTTTAGGAATATGACCTAAACGTAACAAAAAAAATCATTGTCAATGTTGAAAAACTTAGTTTTTTTTTATTGCTTAGATGGGTAGACGAGCTCACGGCCCACCTGTTAAATGGTTACTGGAGCCCATAGACATCTACGACGTAAATGCGCCACTAATCTTGAGATATAAGTTCTAAGGTCTCAGTACAGTACAGCAGTTACAACGGCTGCCCCGCCCTTCAAACCGAACGCATTAATGCTTCACGGCAGAAACAGGCAGGGTGGTGGTACTTACCCGCCCGGACTCACAAGAGGTCCTACCACCAGTAAAACTGATAAGCCGTTTCTTCTGCTTCGTTCAGGATCTGTCGTACAAGGACAAGCACTGGCACGAGGCCTGCTTCTTGTGCGCCAAGTGCCGCGTCTCTCTGGTCGATAAGCAGTTCGGCTCCAAGCTCGACAAGATCTACTGCGGCAACTGCTACGACGCCCAGTTCGCAAGCCGCTGCGATGGATGCGGCGAGGTGTTCCGTGCTGGTAAGTCAACATTTCCTTAAATTTACCTTATTTATCATCATACCTTTTACTTTAATATTCACAGGTTTAGTCATATAAGAATTTTGACCTAGGTTTATTTATTGGATACTAACTGACCCGGCAGACTTCGTAGTGCCTCAATCGATAAATAAAAGACCTAAACTTTTGTATAAAATAAACTTAAAATAAATAAAAGTAATCCGTTCGACGGGGAACACATTAAAGGAAAAACAATATTGTTATTTTCATTTAATTCCAAGCATTTTCATATTTATCTACCTTTTAAACTTTCTCTGAACTTCCACAAATAATTCAAGACCAAAATAAGCCAAATCGGTCCAGCCGTTCTCGAGTTTTAGCGAGACTAACGAACAGCAATTCATTTTTATATATTATTATATAGATTAACAATATTTAGAAACAATCACCGATATACTAAAAACAACAAAAAAATAAGCATTCATCTAAAACTAAATCGTGATCGTATTGATAAAGACTACAAAAAGTAAATGTGGCTAATCTACTCGATACATGTACCTCCCAATTACGTATTTAAATTGTTCGTAAAATGTCCATAAGGCAAAAAAAAAACAATTTCAGATCCACGTACATCTAAAGGTAAGGTTGTGGCAATGACAGTTCCTAGGTTTTTCTGAGCTGTACAGCGCACACAGCGATACCATATGCAGCGAGGTGGATCGGAATCCTTATTTGGACACGTCGAATGAAATCAACTTGTTATTCGTGAACTCGGCGACACATTGACAAATGAGTTTGCCAACTAGTTGGAGTAATTCTTTTTTTTAATTTTTTTATTGCTTAGATGGATGGATGGACGAGCTCACAGCCCACCTGGTGTTAAATAGTTACTGGAGCTCATAGACATCTATAACGTAAATGCGCCACCCACCCTGAAATATAAATTCTAAGGTCTCAGTATTGTTACAACGGCTGCCCCACCCTTCAAACCGAAACGCATTAATGCTTCACGGCAGAAATAGGCAGGGCGGTGATACCTCCCTGTGTGGACTCAAGATGTCCTACCGCCAGTAATTACGCAAAACATAGTTTCGCGGGCTTGATCTTTATTACACGATATTATTCCTTCACCATGGAAGTCAATCGTGAACATTTGATGAGTACGTATTTCATTAGAAAAATTGGTACCCGCCTGCGGGATTCGAACACCGTTGCATCGCTAGATACGAATGCACCGGACGTCTTATCCTTTAGGCCACGACGACTTCAAACTTGTGACTTAACTTGTGTCTGGCATATCGATAATAGCATTAATAGATATAGTTCTCATTTTTTCATTCTTTTTCTAATCAATTTACTAGTTCATTTATTCAAACTACAATTTCCTTAGTTTAGAATTCCTATTTAATTTCTACCTACTTCGGTTTTCGTAGCCACGGCCAAATAGATCGTTGCCTACTACTAAAACTAGCATTTAATTGATTTTCATGCATTCAAATTAAGCTCATAAATTAAATTTTAACATGGAATACAAGAGGTTTTAATACTGTCACTACGTTCGCGGTCATTCTACCCGATTGTTTAAAATAAAAACCAAAACGAGATATTAATAGACGAATAGACTACAATTTCACATTATTATAATACGAATGTAAACAAAACTATTGTATAAAACTCGTCATTTTTGGCACGTTGGTGTTGAAAATCAATTTGTTACCTCACTCATTCTTGTCAGTCGTGTGTCACGTGCTTTAAAAGGTGGTCCAAACAAGCGCTGATAGAGGTTGATAGGCATGTAACTAATCCCTGTAATATAATAATTAGTATCCAAAGGTTTGTGTATCACTAAAAGCTACTTAGGATATTTACGAACTTTTAAAATCAAAATGTACTTTTATGCCCAGTGAGTTTCCCGCCGGATCTTATCAGTGGGTTGCGATTCCGATCCGGTGGTAGATTCCGCGAAGCACTACTCTTGCTAGGGCCAGCGTTAGCAACAAATCTGGTTTGAGCTCCGAGAGCTCACCTACACGCTAGGGTAACGCTGATATAGCCTCTCAAGCCAATCAGCATAGGTAGGAAAAAAAAAGTTCTTATAATTGATTATGATAAATCCGATTTAAAGCAACTTGTTATATGTCTTATTTAATTTCAAGGACGCCAATAACATTCACAATGCCTCATCAAACAACCACTATTAATAAATACCCTAAAAAGACTTGCAGATTTCGGGTCTCAATCAGTATCTACCTTACAGCAAAACAACAATTAAAAATGAATATCTTTAAATGGAAGACTGGCTTATTTTTCGAATCCCTCAATCCTACGTATATTTAAAGTTGACAAAATTATGACAGCTACCGAGAAGTAATTAGACAATGAATCATTGTAAGCACAAAAAGAAAAGTGAATTACCTACACACTAACAACTTTTTAAAAACGCCCATAAAATTGCAGTTTCGTGATGTTATTATTGATTGCTATACAATATTGTAAAACCGTTGCTTTAAGAAGATAATTGATTCTTGTAACCTGTCGAAAAAAGGTTGTATGAGTCATTTTACGCGCAAGGTGAAAGAACGAAGATATGGTTTGTGTTTCCTGATACGATGTTAAAAAAAAAGTTCAATAATTAATTAATTTTACTTAGCTTTTTGAACTTCATGCTTCGACGATATTGACTACTAGCATTTATGCGAAGCCTATTATAGCTAATAGTGTTTTCTTCTTAGGCTAATTATCCCTTTGGATTTTGGTAACTCACTCGTTTTGTAACATTGTGCTATTACAATAGTGGCTTTTCGAGTCAATAAAAAATGAGAAAGAAACAAAGAGATTTTCTTGTAGAACAAAATATACATCGCATAAAATAGGTAACGTGCTTTTTTGCCGCCAAAACAATTGGTAGAATGAACAATTAATATTTGACATTAAATATTTAAAAGTACAAAGTAACCTTTCTCTTTTTTTCTTTCAATTAATAATTTAGGAAGGCAAAAATGTATAAAAATATAAATGACCTAAAGCCTCTCCTTAGTAATGAATATATATGAAATAATAGTAATTGAGGTACTAGGTGCGTAGAGAACACAAGGAGCAAATACTTTTCCAGCTGCAAACGAGACGACAGTAGCATTAATTATGTATTTTAACGCATACAGTTCTAATGTGTGCAATGCTCTACTAGTATTTCACGAATTTACCTTCATTACCTATGTTAGTGTGTCTTACGAAAGAAATAAAAACATAACAGTTACGTAAAAGAAGCCCCTTAAAACAAGCAATTAGTATGTGAACTACTTAACATACAAACCAAAGCCACGTAATATTCAATCACTGCCTCGAATTATTGTTGATATCAAAAGAACCTTAAGTCAAAGACGATACGTTGTAGTTTCGTTTGTCACCAATGTTGAACTCAGCTATTTAGTTGGCATTAGTAATGAAGCCGAATAAATGTTGCGATTGTTCGATTTAGATCATCCTTTCTCAAAGTGGCGATAACGCCCCCTTGTGGGCGCTGTAGGCCCAAAGGGGGGCGGTAAGAGACCCAAAAAAAGGGGGCGTTGTGTAGAGGCTTGGAAGGTGATTTGTAACTTCATCTAGGAGGACTCTTAGACACCGACTGAGTTCTCGCTAAAGTGGTTTTTGAAGTAGGTGAAAAAATGCAGGCGCTAAAAAATAATTTATTCTCAAAGTGGGCAGTAGACAAAATAAGTTTGGGAACCTCTGATTTAAATAAATGTACATACATACTTATACGGTTTTTGATGGTTTCACTGTAACTCGATTTACGACAGATTTTTAAAGCTGCGTTGGTTGTTTTACGATAACTTAGACGTAATTAGATACTAACAGTTGTAACTGGATCAGGGTTCTGTGTGGGCGATTTATTTGGTATGTAAAAACAAATAGTTATCGATAGGTAGGTATAGGTATTCTGCCACATACCGGTTGCGAAGGACTAATAAGAATTCTTGACTATTTGAAAGTCTTCAAGAGACTATATAAATAGCTGAATTATTTGACCGCGTGCTTCTTTTAGGTACGTAAACTTTTGTTATAACATTTTATGATATTAAAACTAAAAGTTATACTTTCCTAAAGTGTACCAAGTGCGCAATGTTTACTCATACACATACACAAAATCAAAATAAAACATTTAAAAAATCGGACCCTAATTATATTAATGTATAAATTGATCGATGAAAAATTTAAGCTTGATTAGCACAATATAATTTGAAACCTATTTGTGAATGTGCTTATTAAGGAAACGCTTTAGGTTGAAACTCCGTTACAGAAATAACAGTTGGAAGAAAGAGAAAAAAAAAACGAATAACACCGTTAAAAAAATTAATCCTTACTAGTGCGGGTAACGGTATGTGCCGACACTGTCTTTATAAAATTACTTTATCGAGGAACTCAGTTCGATTAATGACCTTTTCAAATAATGTGCCAAAAAAAAAAAACATTAATCATGAATTATTTTTTTGTGGATATGGTTTTCGCTTGCAGAAGTCATTGATTCACAGTGGCTCATATTAAAGTTCTTTTGTTTCTTGCGCTTTATAGCTATTGTTCCAAAGCTACTTTTTATTATACTGGTGGTAGGACCTCTTGGGAGTCCGCACGGGTAGGTACCACCACCCCGCCTATTTCCGCCGTGAAGCAGTAATGCGTTTCGGTTCGAAGGGTGGGGCAGCCGTTGTAGCTATACTGAGACCTTAGAACTTGTATCTCTAGGTGGGTGGCGCATTACGTTGTAGATGTCCATGGGCTCCAGTAACCACTTAACACCAGGTAGGCTGTGAGCTCGTCCATCTATCTAAGCAATAAAAAATAAATAAAAAATTACGACATCTCCAGTTCGAGATAAATCTCGAATAGATTTTGAGGTCGAAATCCGATTCGCATGATCACTTTGCGGCATAAATAGGCAAGATAGTGGTATCTACCGGTGCTATCTAACACTACCAGTAGAAATTCGCTTAAGGTAATTTAACATCATTCAAAGGCAGGGT